AACTAATCCAATACTTTTGATTTATGTCAGGGAACAGACTGCAGTTTTCAGAGTCACATTGAATCATCTTGGCCTTACATTTAAAGGAATATAGGCGATGAGAGACTCGTATAAAACAGGAGGCAGGTTCAGGTACCAGACCGTTCTGACGGTTCTGCATCAAATGGACTTTTGAAGCTCAGAGTGGGGAACCTGCCATCAGACGGTTTTTGTATATTTGCCCAGTGAGTGATTTGCAGAAAGACATTCTTGTAAAGGCCACCGGCATTGCTCTCTGAGGGCGCTCTTGCCGCTGACACATGATGTCTATCAACTCCAGGCCCACTGTCAGCACGGAGCCCACTGCCCCTGCATTCTTCTGGTATCTGGTACAGTAGGAAGAGAAGTGAGATCAGGCCAGGATGCCTATTAGCTGTTGACGCAAACTGTTTGATTGCATTGAGCTGAGGCGCTGACGGATCATCACCGGGGGAAGTAAATCAAATAAATTCTGTATATGGTTACACGTGGGTCCTGCTTGAGGATGTTTGTGAGGATACTGATTATTTATGTGTTGAGGAAAGGATTTCCCGTTTGTACGCAGAGTCAAACGTGGACAAATTTAAAAACCTTCACCAATAGACAAACTGGACTAATTAGAAAACTCAGCGACGTAGCCCGGAGCACACAGGGAAGCAGGAGGTAGAGACTGATGTTTGTTAGCATTTGTTAGCAGCGGACTGATGAGAGCCCAGTTTAGAGGGTTAACGTCAGCTCTAAGGAAGTATTAACTGGGAATCTTAGAACACCAACCAGCCAAGTTAATAAAATCTCATTAATATTACTGCTTGTGGATTTAATCACTATATTACAGTTACAGTACAGTAAAGAAGAGGATTTAACTGTAATGAAACCATCAAGAGGATTTCTGTTGTCATGCATCCTTTAAAACCACCACTTTTTATTTTTCGTGTGTCTACGTTTATTTACATTATTTCATTGTATCAGAATCGTTTTTATTATAAGACATGCATACAATGCTCACATCTACAAGGTTGGCCTTTCCCCCTAACATAAACCTTCTGAAAAGAAAAAGAAAAAAAGTGAAAAGTAAAAGACCTTATTGTTTGTCCTCACTAAAAGCAGATAAGGCTAAAGGTTGCATTGGAGACCCAGGCACCTGGAGCCAGGGTCCAATTTAGCAAAACCACAATGTCAACATGGTCGAGGGCTACGGTCGGGAGAGAATGAAAAAGGTTGTGATTATGCAGGTCCTAATCAGAAGTCAAAATATATAAACTAAAAGGCCCTTGGATACAGTGACACATCATCATTAATTTCCATCATTTTAAGTAAACTATCACTCTGGGGCACAGGCAGAGGCACGATGACACATTTACAGTATATACAAGGTGGGACTGTCACTACTGCAGAAACTGTATCCTAGTATTTATTCAAGGTGGGACTGAAATTTCTAGAAATAATTTAAATAAACTGCATGATTTAAGGAGGACACGATAAAACATTCATTTAAAACAGAAAATGGGAAGCAAAACTTATACTGTATGTGTGTATATAAATATGTGTATATATATATAAATATATTTTTAAAACGTTTAATCTTTCGCTGTTTTTCTATGACTTTTGGCTCACATTGTACATTTTGAGTAGAATGATAAATAGCGGAAAAAAAATAAAACATTAAAACTTACAGCGTAAGCTGAATCATGGGTTTCAATTAGATCATGATACACAAAAATTTATATTTTTATGGTGGCTCAGCCCAGAATTCTATTTCTAAATCATCTAAAAATACACACATTTGAAAAACAACTCCACAGAGATGGATAAAAATAATGGGCAAATCAAATAAAACGCATTTGCCTCCAGTGTAGTATCTCTGCAGGCTGCCAAGCCTAAAATATCCAGGTGAGGCTTTAAACCAGTGATATAAAAGGTTCATCATGAGAATATCTAAAGAGGCCGTGCCTGGTGGGCTCATCATGAGCTAACTGGTCTAATTAAGCCTGGTCAAACACAACAAATTAGCTGATTGTCACTAGCGGATGTAGACATCTAACCTCATTAGAATCATTGGAATATTTATTTCCTACATCAGTCGGGATGGAGAAAAGTCTTGTGCACTGCCAGGCTGAAGGAGCTGGGGACTCTCGCCGCTAGTGTGGTGTCTTTCCAAAAACAACTTGTCTGAGGTCGCTGCTGAGCCGGAGTCTGACACAGTGATTATAGGTGGTGATCCCAGTGAGGAAAGCTGTGGTTTGGTGCAAAACGTCTGAGAAATCCATTGTGAGCCTCACCTCTACTCAGGCAGCACTTGACTCAATTACTGTATTTGCTGCAAATAGGTAACAAATTGCTCCTGTGTCGCAACTGGCAATAATTTTGTCAGAGAAGGTGGTTTAGATGGTTCACGTCAAAACTGTTGTTGGAAAAAATTGACCACAACATACAAAAAGGTATTTAATTAGCCATTGTTAATATCAAAAAGGACTGAGGGAAACCTCTGAGAAGGAAAGAGATACAGCATAAAAATGTATTGTTTCATTTTCTGTTATGAAGCAAATTTGATTATGTTTGTTATAAATGTTATATTATATTATAAATTTAGTATAAAGGTTTTAATTTTGTAAATATTAACGCTTCTGAAGTGCTGTTTCCTGTATGTTGCAGTAGAAAGAGCACACAAGATCATAATAATCATAATATTTAATGGTAATAAATTCATTAAAAAGTTTAGTGTTTTTTCTGTATGCATTTCTAACCTAACGAAAAAAATATCTAAATATTATTATATAATATTAAAATGATTAGCAATTCCAAAATGACCAAATATTTCTATTGTTGCGTGTAGTTTACCTCACAAAAGATTTTTTTTTTGAAAGCTGACAAAATACCCTTAAATGAAATACTCATGCCAGCAGTGGCCCTTGTGCAGTGAACCCTGCCTTAGACAGAACAGTCTTTAAGTCACACTGAACTATTACAGTTGTCCTGCCTGTGTATGTGCGTATCTACATATGTGTTCCATAGATATAATGGCGACCTGACACACAAAATTCAAGGGTCGATGCACGTACGGATCATCGTGACATGTTCTGTGCCCGACAGGACACGTTGTAAACTCCATCAGTCACCCAATAAATCCTGTTAGAGGGTAAATATAACACAAAATATATGGCTGTTTAATGAACATGAGCTTAGGTGGCGGTGCAGTGGACCCGACTCGGCCTGAACGGGGTGCCTGGGTTCAGCTAAAACGGGGTGTAATCCACTGGGACCGAGTTCAGTTTGGAGAGCGCGGGGCTACACGGGAGTAGACACAAGGCCACAGTCACAAGGGGTTAATTGTAGGTGTTTAAAGAGCACATGTCATTAAAGAGCTGCTGGGTGGAAAGACCTCTATTTATACACGGCAGAGGTAATGAGGTGAAATTATTCTGTCCGACAGAGATGGGATGTGACCGCAGCCGAACGACGGAGACTCCCCTGCTCTACCTCGTTCTCCTGAGAATGTTTTCTGTCCAAATACTGGGGTCGAAATGTAAGATTGTTAATTAATTCCAATTTACATACAGCCAGCTGTGGTTTCCATTCAGTCTTAGAGCCTGAGCTCCGCTGTCATCGCAGGCGATTGATTGCTTAATTAATGGCTCCCCAGATGCAACAATTATACTGAAATTAACTTAATAGGCCTCAGACAGTATTACACCATGGCAATGTTTACATTACACACACTGACATGATAACACATATGAACACTGATTTTCACAGAGAAAAGTAACAGGGCCATTTAAGGTGTTTTCTCCAAAAACGAGTTGTATTCACACAGAAATATACATACATATACGTATATACACAAACGTATGTATGTATGTGTGTGTGTGAATTTATGGATTTACATTTGTACATTTTTAAATAATACTGCACATGTAGTATATCACTGCCCATCTCTAACTTGAATCAATTAATTTATTCCATATCCAGATAACAACTGAAAGTCTAATGTCTATTAACCAAATAACATTACATACCAAGAGACTGTATGTGTTATCTCAGATCACAGACCTCCAACACTAACTATACAATGACTTCCTACAGCCTAGAATAAGTTCAAACTGGCTAAATGTACGCATAAAGATCAGAAAGGTGGACTACCTGAGGTTAAGTGGGACTTGACAACTTTGTTGTGCCTGAGGCAAAGGTCATCAAAGGTAAGTGGGGTCAAGGATCATCAAAGGAAAGCAAGCTTTCTGGAACAAAAGTCCAGATGAATCACTCTAAGGGTTTTTCAGGCTTTCTTTCAACAGTTCAAGTGAGCTCTAAAGATGTCGAGAACAAGCACATCTTCTCATGTAGAAGGTTATCAGACGTTACTATAAAAGGCAGAACTAAAATGATGTTGTTAAGGGCTTTGTTTTTGCCCTATGAAGTCATTTTTAAAGAAATACCTGCGAAATCTTTGAAAGCAATGGCCTTCTGTTGCTTTTGCATATTTAGGAGGCTACGTAAATAGAAAACCAAGGTGATGTCAGATGGCAGTGTTTGTAAAGGTAGGCACCGCTATACAACCTAGATCATTGTTTCCCAAAGACTGGGGCAGGACCCTCAGGTGGGTCGCAAGATATTTTTTTTGGGATAGTCTTGCATCATGTTTTCTACGAGGTTACGAATAATGTCTATTGACTTGGGAAAATCGTAAATTTTGGGAAACATTGACCTACAACAAAGCAGAATAAGTATTAAGGACAGGATCCTGTGTTATCTTGACTTATTAATTTGAGTGCAAGTTAGTTTTTTCAGTAGTAGAAATTTAAACAGAACTAACTTCCATTAAAACACCATAGTCGGTCAATATCAAAAAACACAATCATGAGCAGCAGCCAAGTTTTTTATGTTTTTATTGGAATTCAATTTATAATTTTTTAACATTCACATGTTTTTTTGTCCTTTTCTTCATTCTTTGTTTTTTTTAGATAACAAATATCATTTCTAGAAACGACTTAACCACTCTTTGATCTTTTTTTCCATGTCATTTTCCATAAAAGTACTTTCTGTTAACATTGTAACAAAGTATCTTTAGATCATTGCACACTTTCCGGTTACTGTCGTAAACACTGTAGTAACATGTGAGTAAATCCCAATAACAAATAAATAGTGCATAAATAGTAATACAATTATAAATACATGAATAAATATAAATAAGTAAATATAATAAATACATACATATAATAAATAAATAAATAAATAACATGCTATAAAAATACTATATATGTACAAAAATACTGTATAAATTATACAAAATACTATAAATAAGAGTAATATTATGTACATCGAGATCCTGTGAGAGTGGTACTCCTACCTGGACAGACTATACATCAAGACCCTGAACCTACGCTGCTCCCTCTCCCCTAAAAAGGTCTAAAATATATAGTTCTACTAAATATACCAAGGTACCAGCCCCTTCACTCTTACACAGTAGAAATAATGAAGCAAAGTCTTGGCAGGTATCTAGGCCATTTCCTCCTCCTCCTCACCCTCATCTCCTGCATCTTCAGTGGTGGCGTCCTGGTACTGCTGGTACTCAGACACCAGGTCGTTCGTGTTGCTCTCTGCCTCTGTGAATTCCATTTCATCCATTCCCTCGCCCGTGTACCAATGCAGGAAGGCCTTCCGCCGGAACATAGCTGTGAACTGCTCTGAGATGCGTTTAAATAGTTCTTGAATGGCAGTACTGTTGCCAATGAAGGTGGCAGCCATCTTCAGACCTCGGGGAGGAATGTCACAGACAGCCGTCTTGACGTTGTTGGGGATCCACTCCACAAAGTAGCTGCTGTTCCTGTTTTGAACATTCAGCATCTGTTCATCCACCTCCTTCATGGACATGCGTCCCCTGAAGATGGCAGCAACTGTTAGGTAGCGTCCATGGCGCGGGTCACAAGCAGCCATCATGTTCTTTGAATCAAACATCTGTTGGGTAAGTTCTGGAACTGTCAGTGCTCTGTATTGTTGGCTACCCCGGCTGGTTAGGGGAGCAAAGCCTGGCATGAAGAAGTGAAGTCTGGGAAAGGGCACCATGTTGACGGCCAGTTTCCTAAGATCAGCATTGAGCTGGCCAGGGAATCGCAGGCACGTGGTCACACCACTCATTGTGGCAGAGACTAGGTGGTTAAGATCGCCATAGTTAGGAGTGGTGAGTTTGAGTGTGCGGAAGCAGATGTCATACAGAGCTTCATTGTCAATACAGTAGGTTTCGTCTGTGTTCTCAACCAGCTGATGGACAGACAGGGTGGCGTTGTAGGGTTCCACCACAGTATCTGACACTTTAGGTGAAGGAACCACGCTAAATGTGTTCATGATGCGGTCGGGATATTCCTCACGGATTTTGCTGATGAGCAGAGTTCCCAAACCGGAGCCGGTGCCACCTCCCAATGAGTGTGTAAGCTGGAAGCCCTGGAGGCAGTCGCAACTTTCTGCCTCCTTCCTGACCACATCCAGGACTGAATCCACCAGCTCAGCTCCCTCAGTGTAGTGGCCTTTAGCCCAGTTATTACCTGCTCCACTTTGTCCAAAGACAAAACTGTCAGGTCTGAAGATTTGTCCAAATGGACCAGACCGCACAGAATCCATTGTTCCTGGCTCCAAGTCAATTAGCACTGCTCGAGGAACATACTTTCCACCCAATGCCTCATTGTAATACACGTTGATTCGTTCAAGCTGCAGGTCGCTGTCTCCACAGTAGGTACCAGACGGGTCAATGCCATGCTCATCACTTATGACTTCCCAAAACTTGCCTCCGATCTGGTTTCCGCACTGGCCTGCTTGCATGTGTACAATTTCCCTCATTTTGTTTGAAATTTGAAGTGATTAAACACTGAGTAATAATACTGACTTATCTCCTCTAAGCAAAACTTTCTGTTTTTTTTCCTTTTTGTCTTGATTTTCTTTTCTTTAAAAATTCCTCCTAAATTTGCATTGCAAAATACAGACCGAATGTGAGGCTGAGCTCATTTATTTGATGACATCACCTTGATTTTCAAAGTCCTGCTAGGTACATGAAAGCAAAATGGAGCCAACCTAATTTCCAAAGGACATTCTGAAATATATTAAAAAGTGGATGGAAGGAAAGTTTAATCTAAAAATGCAAAGACACAACACTAAATAATGCCTGCCACTATACAGACAGAAAAGAAGAAAAAAAAAAAAAAATTGTAACTTTGCAGGAGCAGAAGTGCCCTGAAATACTGAGACTTTGAACACAACACTCAATTCTTAAGGTGTGCCCCATCTTAGGACCCCTGGCTTTTTGCTTTGACATCTATTCCAAGTGACGTTCATCTGATTCACATATAATAATTTTTACATATGTAATTTTTAAATATATATTTTACATATTTTGACTGGGAATGGCATTTTTAAGCATACGTAAAAACACATTTCTGCAAACACAAACACACTTCTGCCTGTTCTCTGTAGTGAATGTGTTTGTTTAGTATTTACCTAAAACATGTAACAACATGTGTTGAGTACTGGTCAGTAAGGTGTGGCCAGTCACAGGCTTTGGTCTTACTCCTGTTTATACTGCAGAGAATTTCACCTGAAAATGCCCAATAGGCAGAATTCTGTTGCCAAGAAGTGATCATTGGGAAGGCGCCTGTAATTGCAGAAAAAGAGCAAACTAAGCAACCTGCCAAAATCATCATGCAATTTCTGGAGCACTTCAAAATGCCAAGGGAAGCAATATCTCCTTCCCTTCGTTTAATACTTTTCTTAAATTACTGCACAACTTCCTCTAAGACACTGTTAAGCAGCCTTTTTATTTTTTTTCAACAGAGAAGAAGTAGAACTTTAGAGTGAGCTGAGGTGGTGATTAATGGATACATACAGCAATGAAATGTCTGTCATTCCTCAGGCACTCAGGTTACATGGCTTGAAACAGCATTTGTCCGTATGAGTGAAGGCCCAGTTTTTTGCCTTTCCTGTCTGCCTGCTGAGGCCAGTGTACTATGGCACAACGGTCAGTGGGCACCCACCCTGCATTTCCATCGGCGCCTGCTGTCCGCGCCAAGGCAGAAAAAGGTGAGATGGCTGATATATACACGCTCATACATGAGGCTGTCAAAAATCAGTGAGAGGCCACCTCAGTCTGGACTGGTACATTTTCTGAAAGAAGGCAGAACTTTTATGGCCAGGCCATCTCT